CCAATTTTAGATTATATTGTAAATTTTTTTTTTAGAGAGAAAATTCCTTTATTGTACATTTTCTGGGTGTTTATATTTTGAATCTATATATTTAATGCCTGAAGATATGGACATATATAAATTTTTTAAACAAAAAAAATTAATTCATTGTTGTTTTTTTTAATTTTTTTTTTTAATATGTCTATAATATTAAATATATATTTTTATTTATATATATATATATATATATATATATAATTATTTATTTAAAAATATGATTCCAAATCGCTACATAAGAGGTCTCATGTTTCAAAACAAGAGCCGAAAACTTCAATATAATCCTTTAAATTAAATTGAGTTTAAATTAAAATGGGCTCCGTTCCATCTTCAAGCGAAATTTTTGTTGGAATAACGTATATCTGAAATTTACTTGTTTTAAAAATTGAAATCAAAATTTCCATGGTAACAGCAAAAGGGCGAATTGTTTAAATTGGGTAGGCGAGTGTGGGTGTTAATAATAAGTAGCAGTATAGAGATACTTTCAAGATGTCAAGTTGGGGAAAGGTGGGGGTGTCTAAAATGAAACGGAAGATGTATTAACCTTCGTCTAGTTTTTTTTGTCTATGGAGATTTATTTATTTATTTTATTTTATTTTATTATGAAAGGGAATTGTGCATATATAAAAAAAAAATAAAAAAACTTTCGTAACGTTTTTTTTGACGACTTATAAAGGGTTATCTATTATGTAAGGTATTTAAACTACTTATTTGGGCTATGGATTATGAAGGTGTTATGTTGTATGCATGTTTGTAGTTAATTATTCCTACTATGAATCTGATGATTGGGCTATTTGTTTAAACAAGTTATTATATTTTTTTTTTTTTTATCTAATAATTCAAACCAAAAATCTGATGATGCCTACAAAAACCGTTAACTCGTGTCTATTATTTAATAGATTATTATTATTTAGAAGTTTAATAATGTGCAATTTTTCATGGAGGCACAAAGGGCATGGGTCATCCCAAGCTTTACATATTTTCTAGCCTTATCAATAATTTTCCATTTAACTTTTGGTGTTCTATTTGTTTCCTTCAGGTGCCAAAAATATTTTGATTCGCCCGTTGTAAAACATGTAGGAGATAACGATGGAATTTTGATTTCATTTTTTATAACTAATTGAAGCACTTAAATTTCAGATATACGTTATTTCAAAAAAATTTCTATTAACTTGAAGATGGAACAGAAAATTTTTAATTTAAACTCAATTTAATTTAAAAGATTATATTGAATTTTTTCGGCGAAAAAAAAAATTTTTTTTGAAACTGCAAAAGAGACCTGGAAAAATTATATATGCCTTTTCTAATCTGATTTGGAATCATATTTTAAATAAAAAATAATATATATTTATTATATATCCTTTTATATATACAAGAACATAAAATGTTTTAAAATAATAATAAAATTTACAAATTGGGATTTTTTAATTTATAAACCTAAAAAGGTTCCTTCTTTTTTTCTATTATATTCTATTTATTATTAACACACAACACAATTTTGATTTCAATTTTTATAACACATACGTTACACATTTCGGAAGATAACACATTTTTTGCACATTTAAAATTAAATGAAATATATGTTTTAAACATATATATATATATATATTTTTTAAATAATGGGTTATATTTATTATACTTTTTAGTTTTTAATAATTTTATCATAAAAAAAAAATCTTTTTGGTTTTGGTTAAAAAAAAGTTTATATATGTATATTATTGATAAATTATATTCCCCTTAAAAATATTGTTAAAAAAAACAATTTCAATTTTATCAATGTTATGAACATGGATTATTCAATATCTTGACCGTGTTTTTGCAAAATGAATACATCTTTATATAAATACAATAGCTACATAAAACAAACTATTTCTTAACAGCTAATATATTTCTTTTGAAAAAATTAAATGTATATCCAATCGCGCTCGGATAAAAAGAACAATCGGACAGTTTTTTATAATTTATCATCCGAAAAAAAAAAAAATATTAGATATATAGAAATTGTATAAAAAATTAAATTCAAACACCTTGTCTGTTTGTCTTTTAAATAAAAATATATATATATATATATATATATATATATATATATATATATATATATATATATATATATATATATATAAATAAAAAAGAAAGAACAGTAAGATAAAAATCCGGTGTTCTTATAGATATTTTTATTTTACCTGATTCCTCAATGTAAATTTATATAGAGCATTAATATTATAAATTAATATATATATATATATTTGTTTGAATAAAAGACAGACCACATTAAGATTCCATGTAATAAGCTATTTCACCATAACCCCTTTAACAGGGTTCTGGATCATCAAACTTTACTTCCAAAAGCTGAAATGAAAAATGAAAAAGAAATTCACACGTTTTTGACGGACCTCATCAAGTTACGTAAAATTAACGAAGTGAGGAAGTGAGGTGGAGAGAGGATATGAGTGTGTCATATGTATCATTTCAGTTTCCTATTTTTAACCCCAGTGTGTCGGCAAGATGTTGCTCAAATTTAACGAATTTAATGAAACCTGTCATTTAATTGATTTGGGGAACAACAATATTCAAAAACAATTCTTATCATTTCACCCCTTAGCCATCTATATCTAGAGACGAGACGCATTAAATTTTTATTTTTATCAATTAGAAATAACTTGAGAAAAAAATAACATCTATGCCTGAGGATGGTAAATATTTTTACCGAAAGTTCTTGCAAGCAATATGGACCGAACATCTAATCCACCGTACAATTAATAAAAGTTAAGGATCGTGTATTTTTTGCAAATGGTCAGTGATTAAGGCTTTTTGATTTTTAGCAAAGTGAGCTCGTCATTAATTACATTAAATTTATTGATTCATTCTTTGAATATATTATATATATATATATATTATATATATATATATATATTGGAATTTCTGATATCGAGAGATTATGGATTTGTTCCAAAGAACTGTAAAATATTTTTATGCGAGATCAAATTTTATTTTGTCCATCTCCATGTTGCCCATTTCTCTCTATACATACCAAAGGTTGTTCAAGAGAAAAGCAGCGGTCAATACCTTGGACCCGACGCTGTTGCAGGAGTTGCCAGAACGAAATATGACATGGGACTCCGACTCCGGAGTTGAATTTGATTTCTCCTTCTAGAAAATCTACTATTTACTCATAGATGGAGATTTTGAATCCAAATTTTTATATATCCTAGATATATGGCTGAAATATATATATAGAAGCCAGTCTGTCCTGCTATTTACCCATAGCTGGAGAGATGGATTGATAACTTTGGCAAGGGTATTAGAACGTGAATGTAAAGAACTTGACGGGAATTCGATCTCAGGTCTCTGATTCCTAAATGCTAGACGCAATCCATTACGCCACATATGGCTCCATATATTTCCATGAAATTTATCTGATCTTCCCAAAGTTGAAATCCCGTTAAGAAAACCCGATATTATCTCACATTATTACGTCACCTGACAAATTATACCTTGTAAATTTAACACTTTTTTCTTATATCGTTAGTTCCGTATGTGATATCTACGTAGATCGGTATCTACGTGGCCGATTGGTTAGAACGTTCACTTTCTCACCATGAGACCCGGGTTCGAATCTTATCATTTTACTAGGAAGATGACTTCCTCAGGTTATCGGTCTAGAATGAGGCGATCCCAGTATGCGCCACGTTTCTGAAAACCATACAACGGGTTAACCCAAACCTGGTGAGTGAAATTAGGTGAACGGTAACCCTAGAGGCCGTCGATAGCTATGCTAGCATGAAGTCACAAGTCATCGTGCCCGAGGGTTTGAACGGGCTGGCCTTGATCAGATTGTTGATCACGCTAGATAACACACTCTTTCCCAGAAAGTGTAACTAAGGTCTGCTCAGTATAGTTGCACTATAAACCACGGGTGGGTTCTGTGGGTGTTGAACAAAAACAAATGCGCTTGAGCAAGCGTCTGCAATAGGGATTGGCTAACTGACCTAGTATACGGTTAATGTCGAATACGAGTGACCAGCTATATAGATAGGTATCTAAGAATGCATAACATTGAGTCTTCTGTGTTCCACTGATATTACTGTAGCATATTCTACTAATTATTCATTCAACACCTATCAATCCAAGCAAAACAATGTCATTTACTCCAAAAAATGTAATGAAAATATTTGCTTTAAGTGGTAGTGTAGGTAGATAAACTGATTGCTACATCTTTATTGATTTGAAATATTTATTTATTGCTTTAATTTGACGTTCTCTGTACTCACTTTCGTCCAAAGATTTCAGAATTTATTTAGGACCAATTTTTTTTTTAAATTCTGAATGCCTATAGAAAGTTTATAACAATTCTACAGATGTAAGAAATTCGTAGTTTTTCGAACGTTGCCTGAAAAGCATTTGTAAAAAAACAGAAAACTTGAGCAAAGCGTGTATATTATAATCAACTGTTTATTATTCATCGAATTGTTTAATCCAGATTTTTTTTTATCCTTTGACTGAATCTAAAATATTTTCTTTTCTTAATTGTAGACAAAATCTAGAGAATGAAGGCGATTTACCTCCTTTTATCCGGAACAGTCTTTCTACTCATCGCCGAGCCAATCAAAAGCGACAACATCCTCTTTCTCGGTCTGCCTTTTTACAGTCACATACATCCGATGACTTCATTGGCCAAAGAACTTTATAAAAGGGGACACAACTCTTACTTTTTTGTTCCGGAAGAAATATCCAAGATTCTAAAAGTTTCAGAGGGTGTTCAACTTCTACGCCAAAAAGAAATAATTCAAATGCCAGAATTCACTAAAGTTGCTATAAATTATTTTTCGCGAGATGGTACCCACACATTACTTGACATGCAGAAGATCATGTGGGAAATATGTGATGATTTACTGTTTGACGAAGCCTGGTTTAAATTGTTGAAGTCGTTCAATGCGTCTTTAATCGTTATCGACGGTGTTTTCATGAGCAATTGTCTCGCAATAATTCCTTACAAACTATCAATTCCGTTCGTACTGCTTGCATCTATGAACGCACCATCAATTCATCGAACTCCCTGGGTCTACTCAGCATTTCCGTTTATTTTCACACCATTTCCTGAACGAATGTCATTTTTAGAAAGATTGCAAAATACTTATATACATATACTAAATTACATCACTCCTCCTATGGGTACTGTGGCGAAAAGTGTCAAGACATATGCCCCGGATAAACCTGATATCCCTTTTGAAGAACTTCTACGTAAAGCCGCTTTGCATATTGTGGAAACAGATGTTTTGATAGAATATGCAATGCCAACAATGCCCAACGTAGAACATTTAGGAGGGATGGGCGCTCAACCTGCAGAACCACTTGAAGGAGATTTGCTTAAATTTGTTAATTCTTCAAAAAGAGGGATTATAGTTGTTTCATTTGGATCTTTGGTAAGTTTACTTCCAAAAGAACATCTAAGGAAAATGGGAGAAGCTTTTAAGCAAATAAAATACGATGTTGTCTGGAAATGGTCAGATGCAAGTTATTCTTCCCCTAATGTGTTTCTTACGAAGTGGATGCCACAAAATGACTTATTAGGTCATCCGAAAACGAAACTCTTCATCACTCATTGCGGAAATGGAGGACAGTTTGAAAGTTTGTATCACGCAGTTCCTATGTTAGGCTTTCCTGTTTTTGCTGACCAGCCCCACAATGGCATCAGAATGGAAGACAAAGGTTATGGTATCTCGATGGATATGTTTAATTACTCTTTGGAAGATCTCGTTGCAAATATCAAGGAAATTATCGAGAATCCGAAATATAAAAATAATATCCAAATGGCAAGTGATATTTTCAAGTCTCGACCAGAACGCCCGGCTGTCAGAGGAGCTCGTCTTGTAAATGACGTCATCAAATATGGCGGCGGTTTTCTGCGATCGTACTGTCAAGATATGCCTTTATATCAATATTTTATGTTAGATATTTTGGCTTTTGTATTGTCGTCTGCTGTCATTGGAATTTTAATTGCTGCCTTTATTTTCCGAAAATGTTTGTTTTTTATCGGGCGAACTAAATCAAAGAACGATTGATATTATAAACTGACGCCAATTAAAATATATTATCATCCGGGAGGTAGAGTGTTAAGAAAACAAATCTATCAATCAGTCACTCACTCAAGATTTTAGTAAATTTATTCCGATTTCGTTAGTGCTATCATATAATTTGGTCTACCACGGTATCAATGAATATAGCATGCGAGCTACCTCGTCTAATACTATAGCATGCGGTCTACCACAGTATCAATGACTATATCATGCAATCTACCTCATTTAATACTATAATATTCGCTCAACCACAGTATCAATGACCATAGCATGCGGTCTACCCCGTTTAATACTATAGTATGCGGCCTACCTTATCTAACACTATAGCGTATCTAGCAGATTGTTCTCTTGTAAAAAGGCGACTGCTGCTTCCTCGGTCAAAAAAAAAAAATCTTTCAGCACCATTTTAATCTAATGGTGAGTTAACGGTTTCAGATCTAGGGGATTCTGATGTGGGAACCCTATTTAATTCCTTTTATTTAGCCTGGACACACTAGAGGTGAGGTGAGCTGATGGTAGAATTCATCGTGGTAGACCGCAGCTGGACGGCACGAATATAATAAATAGTGCAGTAGACCGCATACCGTAGTAGTAAATGAGGTAGAATTAATGTATTTTTATCTTTTATCCAACATTTTTAGGTGCAACAATAGTATGCTGTCTACCTCGGTATCACTGACTATAGCATGAGGTCTACCTCATTTAATACTATACTATCTACCGCGCTATCTAACACTATAGTGTATCTTGCAGATTGTTCTCTTGTAATAATGCGACTGCTGTTTCCCCAGTCCAAATGACACGTCTATAAATATCTTTCGATAACATTTTAATCTGAAGGAGGTTATCCAGCTGATGTTAATGGTTTCAGGCCTAGTGGGATTCTGATATGGGAGGGTCCATTTTCTTCCTTTTATGTGGACAGGACTCACGAGAAGTGAGGTGAAGTGATGGTAGAATTAATCGTGGTAGTCCGCAGGTAGATGGCACGAGAGGTGAGGTCACGGTAGAATTCATACCATGGTAGACATCATACTATTGTCGCACTGTTTCGTTTATATTTGCACTTTTGATAGTTTTTGTTTTTTCAACAAGTAGAATAACTATATAAATAAAGTACACACTAAAAACAACGTACGAAGTAATAAAAGTATATTGAATTAAAAATATAAAATAATTTAATTCTTCATATATATCACTTGTTTTTGGAACCCTAGAAATAAAAAAATAAATAAATTGGCAGTTATTTTTCATATTTTTCAGAAATTAGTATACTATAACTATGTAACAAACTAAATTGTTTTGTACAGGGCCTGGCCTGTTTTGTAAATGCTGTTTTGTTTCCTTGTGTGTTCTCATGTGACAGGTGAGACCAGAGGGGGTTTCTACATGTTTTCTGTCACATCCAGCATGTGAAGTTCTTTCCAACCTAGTACTGATCCTAATTTGTTATCCATTTACCAATTTGATTCTTCTTGTGGCTAACGCGGTCTGCATTGGAAGGACATGCTTGATCATATTCAGCACATGTAGATTTCTGGATGAGTTATTCCTCTTTTCCCAGCTCCACACTTGACATGTCTCCAACTCATTGCATGTTTTTGGGACACTGAATTTATATATTTCAATTTCTGGATAAGAACGGCGAATCTCGAGATGTGTCTCTAGATATCTCGAAAGCTTTTGACAGGGTTTGGCATGCCGGCCTTCTTCGCAAGCTCCAGAGCTACGGTGTCACAAGACGAATATTTGATTTAAACCGATCATTCCTATTAAATCGTGAAATGAATGTTGCTTTGAACGTATTCGTATCCAGATGTGTTTTTTTTCAATTACTCGGGTGACTCCTAAGGTTCTATCATTGGTCCTATGCTATTCTGATCTTCATCAATGATCTCACCTATGTCATCAGTTCCCAAGTATGTATTAGGTTGGTGCAAAAATAATGACGTAATGATGTCGTTTTTTGACGTTAAAAATACGTTAAAATACGACATTATTACGTCATTATTTTTGCACCAACCTAATATTTATGCAGATGACATATAATCTCCGGTTTTGGAATCCTAGAATTAAAAATAAAAATGATTTTCGAAGTTGACATTTATTTTCCTATCTTCATACTATAACAACGCAGCAAACTAAGTTGTTTTGTACAGGGCCTGGCCTGTTTTACAAATTCTGTTCACCTTGCTCATGCATTTTCCTGTGACAAGTAATACCGGAGCAGTCTCTAGTTTACCGATTTGGCTCTTCTTGGGTCTAACGAGATCTGCATTGGAGAGACACACTTTTAATACTCACGGCACAGATTGACGGCAAGAGATACAAAAGCAAACGACGCGTAACCTACCTAGAGAGTTTGAGTAAATGTATGGCACACAGTTTATAAAGAGTTAGGAAAGTAACGGGAAATGTGGAGAGCCATGTTCGCCAAGACGGGACACAGCACATAGAAGAAGAAGAAGAAGAAGAAGAAGAAGAAGAAGAAGAAGAAGAAGAAAAGAAGAATTATTTCCTGTGCTGTAACCTGTTACCCACTGGGGATTAGGTCAGTGCATAATATGTCTCCTACTTATTAAGACGTTTATAAAATCGATATAAGTTGTCTGTTTTTGTTTAACGGCATATCAACACCTCTATGAGTTATTTAATGCCGAAATTGAAATATTTTGCATGTAATTTTATTTTATTTTGGGAGATAATAATGATTTAGTGATACATGCCTTACTAATTAATCCATAGCTGAGGGGGGAGAAGCGGTTCTTTCACCTGGAATTTGAACTCTCCGATTAAAAATTCTGAGCCATGCTTCATTACACTACCCGCATACCGAAGCTTACAGCACCTGATATTCCCAAGCGGTCACCCATCTAAGTACTGACCAAGCTCGACGTTGCTTAATAGCGGTGACCGTATTGGGACCGGTGTTGCAACGTGATGTTGCCGTAAGTCACGTTATAAGTAAATCCATGCAACACTATGTCTGCTGAAATCTTTTTTAATCTAAAAAAAAAACAAAACAAATTCTAGTCGAATAGTCAAGTAGGCCCAGAAGTTGAAACATCTGGGAAGCGTTTTAACAGAGGATGGAAATTGCGACACCGAAATCCGAACATGAATTGGATTAAAGAATGGTGCATTTCAGATCAGAGTGCTGAAAAATAGACAAAGAAAGGGACGCTGGATTGTTACGTGTTATCCATCCTCTAAAATGGCAGTAAATGTTGAACAATTTTCCCACGGATAAAGAAAAAACTAGTGGCAGTAGATATGACGGAGGGAAAAAGCAACAAGGATATTTAGCAATTCGACTGGAATTCGAACTCAGCTCTCTGATTCCTAATTTCCAAGTCGCAATCCATTAATTCACATATGGATCCATATATTTCCATGAAGTTTATCTAATCGTACGTATCTTCCCAAAGTTGACATCCCTTTAAGAGTTCCCGATATTATCTCACATTATAACGTCACCTAACAAATTATGCCTTGTAATATCAACAATTTTTTCTTGGATCGTTAGATTCGTATGTGATATCTAGGTAGATAGGTGGTAGCAGAGTGGTTAGAACGTTCGATTTCTGACCATGAGACCCGGGTTCGAATCTTATCATTTTACGAGGAAGGTGACTTCCTGAGGTTATCGGTCTAGAGTGGAGAGGTCTTAGCGTGCGCCACATTTGGAAAGTGCCTAAAAACCATACCACGGTTTAACCCAAGCGTGGGAAGTGAAATTAGGTGAACGATCGCCCTGGGGGCCGTCGATAGCTGTGCTAACAAGAAGTCACAAGTTATCGTGCCCGACGGTTTGAACGGAATGGCCTTGATCAGATTGTTGATCACGCTAGATAACACATTCTGTCCCAGAAACTTTAAGTAAGGTGTGCTCAGCATACTTGCATTATAAACCACAGGTGGGTTCTGTGGGTGTTGAACAAACGTCTGCAACAGTGAATGTAATGAACTCGACTGGAATTCGAACTCAGCTCTCTGATTTCTAAATGTGAGTCTCAGTCCATTACTCCACATATGGCTCCATATATTTCCATGAAATTTATCTGATCTTCCCAAAGTTAAGATTCCGTTAAGAGAACCCGATATTATCTCATATGATAACGTCACCTGACAAATTATGCCTTGTAATATTAACAAGTTTTTCTTGGCTCGTTAGTTTCGGATGTGATATCTACGTAGATAGGTATCTACGTGGCCGACTTGTTAGAACGTTCGCTTTCTCACCATGAGATCCGCGTTCAAACCTTATCATTTTGTGAGGAAGGTGACTGCCTGAGGTTATCTACTCAAAACAGGAAAAAAAAAACAAAAAAAAAAACACAACTGAGAGAATGGTGAAGGCATCGAACTACTTAAATCACGAGCTTGTGTGAATAGACGGAAGGACAGAGGGCGTGGACGATAGCAAATGGGGGGAAAAACTGCTAAGATTCCACGGGATATGATGTTGTGGAGAGCCATGATCGCTTATGTCCTGAAGTGACGCGGCACAGATGATGTCAACTCAATATGAAAATGTTAAAATTTTATATTTTAAAAATCATAATCTTAACATAAAAGACAATAAAGCCACTAAGACACAGAGGGTTATTGAGTGTGAAAAAAAAGAAAAAAAAAGAAGAGAAACGTCATTAAGGAGTGAGAACAACAGAAGAGTAATTTAGATGACGGTAGATAGCGATTGACATTGTATTAAAATTTTTGAACATCAAAATTGGCGGGAAAACGTGGAGCCTAGAGCTCCAACAGTGGCAAATGCGAGAGAAGAAACTTTTTAACATAGAACTTACGGTTACATCTACCCAATTCAAATGTAGCACGGACTTTTGCCGCTACTCTTTATGAGAAGCAATTCTAATGAGTTTTTTTTTAATTTATTTTGATCGTTTCACCCCCAAGCAAGACGACAATGCCACTGGATCGCAGGGTGTGTGTGTGAGGTGTGTGAAAGTGAAAGAGAATGAGATGACTGGGAATTGTTGAGGACACAAAAGATGAGCAGGGGTTCAATATGGCGATTGTTGGTGCATTTAAGTCTTTAAAGATTGTAGTTATCAAGAAAACTCAAGAAACAAACAAACAAAAAAAAAAACTAATTAAAATTTTAAGTATTATTTTCATGATCGAATTTCAGGAACATCTGAGTAGCATCGTTTTATGAGATGATACAATATTTCAAATGTTTCATTTGAATTGAAATTATCCTTTTTCTATAAATCGACGATAAATAAATAAAAATAAATAAATAAATAACTGGCCACTCGTATTCGAGGATACCCGTCTACTAGGGTGGCTAGCCAATCCCTGTTGCAGACGCTTACTCAGGCGCATTTCTTTTTATTCAACACCCACAGAGCCCACCTGTGGTTTATACTTTAACTATCCTGAGCAGACCTTAGTTACAGTTTCTGGGAAAGAGCGTGTTATCTAGCGCGATCAATAATTTGAACAATTACAGCCTTCGAACAATCTCGTATACACAATTTGAATAAAAAAGAGTCTCCAAACACTTTGTCTAGACGAACTTAACCACAGATTAAACAACACAGATAGAATTAATATATAATCGCATAGATCAACCCCCACCCATATTTCTCAGCCACACTAGATAGACATGCTTGCAGAAGTGTTAAGGTTTCCCACATACACACACTCACACAAATATATACACATACACACATCACACAGACTACCAAAAGCCTAAAAGATAACATACACTTAACACACGCATTCCCTTCCAAGCAACGAATTAAACTGTCAAAATGTCTAAGAAGGGAATTCTGAGACTCAGGAATCTCCCAGGCTCTATTTTAAAAACAACTTGAAAGAAGCCGTTTAACCAATACAAGAACTGACCAAGATTAACGGTAACAAACAAATAAAAACTAGAGACAATGTTCACTTTCTTCAAAGACAGTCATTCATTCCTGTAGGTCACTGCTACTAACAAACGATTTTTTTTCTACTGGTGATGACCATGCTGGCTGAAACTAGTTGAGGAACCTAATTTAAATAATAAAACAAAAAAATATTAATATACAACTCAGTCTGTCTGAAATTTTAATTTTTTAACATTTTTCATTGTTCAACACACACACAAACATATATATATATATATATATATATATATATATATATATATATATATATATATATATATATCCAAGTATATAATTGGTGTATACGGAATGAATTCCAATAACCAACAATTACTATTATTACATTCAACATCATCTTGATAAGACACCGGAGGTGTTGAAACAAAATGGCTATTTTTGTAGTGATTTTATAACATATTTATGTTATAATTTTCTTTATATAAATAATATATATATATATATATATATATATATATATATATATATCATCTTCATCATTATCCTTCTGCCTTCCCCTGGTTGGTCGGAACTCCATTGACAATCTCTTTCCACACTGTTTGGTCCTGCATTGCCCTCCCCAGGTCCCCAATGTCCAACCCTGGGTACCGAGCCATGGTGTCTAGGAAAGTCAATTTTCGGGATAAGACACTTCCAGAAGGATGCTATAGGAGTAAGGATGAGACGATTTCGCTGTCCGCTCGGTGGTTGTGGCCGGCAAACTATAATTGTTTCTGCTTGAGCTTAAGATAGGTTGATCTCAGTTATCCGTAAATTGTGTTAAGAGTTGCATGGGATCTTCAACTTATATTTTGGAATTTTTTAAGCAGATTTGTATATATTCCACCCAGTCGTCTTTCAAGACGAAAAGATAATGTCCGTTTCCGGTCTATACAGTAGGACTGGTTCAATCAGTATACGAAAAGTTTGGACTTTTAAAGATGATGGAAGGTTCGAGCGCCATATCTTGTATAGTCTGTTACACGCATCCCATGCAAGAGCTTTGCGGATGTTGAAGTCTTTTGGGGAATCTATTTTGTGAGATCTAAGATATTTGATGGATGCATTATTGAATGACTTCAACTCAAAGTGTTCAGGGGTGCCTATAATATATTCTGTCTTCGTCACATTGCAATAGAGACCTACCTGCTACACTACTTGCTCAATACATACATACATACATATAATTTTTACTTTCTTTTATCTAAACCAAACTACGGGATATATCGTGCAGGTTCCCTAAGTCAGGAAATGATGTTAAACAAGCTTCTTTCTTTATTTTTTTTTATCATTAAACCTATCAGTTTTCAGTTCAGTTTAATTATCAAGTGTCAGTAAATGCGCATGAAGAAACTCCCTGTGCGTCTACAGGATTTATGCTGACGAAATCTAATCTCGATATATCTGACAGGATTTTTTCAAAGTAAACACATTTGTGGTCATTATGAAAATTAATATTATTTTAGTCCGAATTATAAATATTTTCTTGCTTTGTCTATTTCAGATCTCAGATTGTAAAATATATATATATATATATATATATATATATATATATATATATATATATATATATATTATACATATATATATATATATATATATATATATATATATATACATACATCTACCTAGATATCATTTGGATGAAACTAATGAGCCAAGAAAAACTTGTTAATATTACAAGGCATAATTTGTCAGGTGACGTTATAATGTGAGATAATATCGGGTTCTCTTAACGGAATCTCAACTTTGGGAAGATCAGATAAATTTCATGGAAATATATGGAGCCATATGTGGAGTAATGGATTGCGACTCATATTTAGAAATCAGAGACCTGAGTTCGAATTCCAGTCAAGTTCATTACATTCATTTTCTAATACCCTTGCTAAAGTTATGAATCCATCTCTCCAGCTATGGGTGAATAGCGGGACAGGCTGTGTTCTATAGCCTTGGGTGGCAACCGGTCTAGGAGTGAGAAAAAATTTGAATTCAAAATCTCCATCTATGAGTAAATAGTAGGGCAGAATAGAAGGAGAAATCAAATTCAACTCCGGAGTCGGAGTCCCATGTCATATTTCGTTCTGGCAACTCCTGCAACACCGTCTGGGCCAAGGTGTATTGACCGCTGCTTTTCTCTTGAACAACCTTGGTGGCGTATAGAGAGGAAATGGGCAACATGGAGATGGACAACTGTCGATCTCGCATAAAAACTCTACCCAGTTCTTTGGGCGTAAATCCATAATCTCTCGATATCGGCGGATGCCAATATATATATATATATATATATATATATATATATATATATATATATATATATATATATATATTTATTTCTTTTTGTAATAAAAGTGTCTCTTGAAAAAATTCTTTCTCAGTCTGCGATTTTGACGGCTGTATTTCAGGAGACCTTTTTAATCATTACATACTAGGCAAGCCAATAAGCCCATTAAGACTAAAGGTGTAAAATGATAAGGGTGTAAGAAAATATGAGAAAAAGTAAACATTATTAAAGAGAGAGGACAGAAGTCTACGAACCAAAGATGAAAGCTCATCGGATCAATTACAATGAAAATATTTATAGGGAAGCTACGTTTCGGTGGTGGAAAAGTAACAGAAGCCGAGGTGCCAGGTCAGGAGAAATAACATTGCAGATTTTCCTTTATATTTCATCATGAATCTCTACATATATAGCAGAAGCACCAGAAATGATGTAACAGAAATATTCAATATATGAATGAATGGTAGACTTATGAATTTACAAAATTTTATCGAGAAAAATTGTCTTCTACAACATATCTATCTATCTATCTATCTATCTATCTATCTATCTATCTATCTCAGTCTGATTATATCAATCTATTTCACTTAGTTCATATCAGTCCATCTATTTCAGTGGGTTTCTATCTATCTATCTATCTATCTATCTATCTATCTATCTATCTAATCAAGTTCACCCCCCCCCAAGAAAGACAGTAAAACCACGGAGACGCAAGGGGTTACGGGGTGTGGGAGAGTTAGAAACAGGAAGATTGCTAAAGAGCGAGGACAGAGGAAGAGTAACCAAGACGAGAGCAAATGGCGATTGACATTGCATTTAAATTTTTGGTTTGCCGTAAATCATGGCACCAGAAGTAAGTTCCACAAACGAGTAGTGCGATAAAAGAGACTGTTAGAATAGACTGTATGGTTACATCTAGTTAGTTCAACTATAGTACTGCGCTGAAATGCGAAGAGTCTAGGTACCGTAGTGAAAAGCTCATCCGAACAATTACCATGGATGTGAAAAGGCAAAGGGAGGCAACCTTACGACGGTTGGAAAGTGACTGAAACCGTGATGCCAGGTCAGGGCTAATAATATTGCTGATTCTTCTGTGGATTTGATCAAGGAGCTCTAGATAGATAGCAGGGACATCGGGCGATAGTGGCAACAATATCCTAAGCATGAGCGATTGATAGACTTATAGATATATAAGATAGACATTGGGGAGAAATATATCTAGCACGACTCGGTGAGACAACCTCCCTGGCAGTGGATTCAATATACTCTTTCCACTTCATTGTTCTTTCATTTGGGTCCTGTCACTGGATCTAACGTCTTTATCCACTGTGTCATGTGTCCTTGAGGACCGGACCCAAAGAGTGTCAGTTCAATACCCGGTTAAGGCAGAGGGGAACTAACAGGAGATAACTGATAACTGACATCCATTAAACATGGCACATGGAACTAGAACAGTCTACCCCAGTGAACGAAATAAAGGGTTCAGTTCGACATTCCAACCACCTGAAGAGGGCCGAAGCGTACAACGGCCGAAACGTTGTAATAAATATGGCGACAAAGATGAGGACAATAGTCCGAATAATGTAAATAAGCCATTGGTTATTTAAGTATTTTTGACAGTTGCCCATTTTAAAACGGGTCCTCAACACTCATTCTCAAGAAGCTTAAGAATTAAAATCTTTAAGGTATTTTGTGAAGCCCTATTCTACCTATAGACGTCACCATTAAAAATGGAGAATATTTTTATTCGAAATAATAAGAAGTAATATCAGATTGTAGAGAATATATCTTTTGTTAGAAGTTTCTTAAAAATGATATTCTTCTATGTGCCGCGTCACTTCGGGACATAGGCGATCATGGCTTTCCACAACTTTCTACCTAGTGTGACTTTTAGCAGATTTCTCTCTTTTCTAAGCCCTTCCTCCCCACTTTCTATTCATACAAGTTGGTCAGGTAAGTGTCTCGCTCCCTTCCCCTATATCTCTCTTGCCCTCAATATGTCCTCTGAGTGTTAAGTTTTCCAAGCCGTCTTTCCTCATTATGTTTGCAGGAAATTTCAACTGTCTTTTCCTGATTTTGATTATATAATGTTAAAGTTTTTTTTATTTCACGCTTTCTGCTAACACCCTGTCTAGGAAGTCCTGTAATTTCCTTACCGTGTCCGCTATCAACACAGTGTCATCTGCGTGTCTTATATTAAGATTACGCCTACCGATAATACATCCTGGTCGGCTCTCCAATTCCTTTAGGATGACTTCGCTATTGAATAAATCTGGGGAGAAGACGCATACTTATCTCGCGCCCCTTTCAATTTTTTGTATATCTGTTCATTTTATTTTCTAGCCGTATATGCATGTGGTTTGCTTCCAGTGTAATTTCTGGATTACTCTAACATCTTTTCCAAATAAATCGAGTTCTCCTCGCAGTTCAAATAGGTCCTTGAGCCTTACCTTGGCAAATAATCTATAAAACATAAATGCACATACTTCTATTTTGTAAAGCTCTCAATATTATTATTCTGACCATGAACATCGCATATCTTGTTCCAGTGTCCTTGTCAAAGCTGAACTGTTCTTGTCCTATTACCGGTCTAATTCTGCTTAGTGCTCTATTCATCCGGATTTGCATCGTCAGGTCATGTTTGTTGTGCTCAGCCTCGTCTATTTATATATTCTAGACAGTGGTGCATTATGGATAGGTCTGTTGTGTTACTCTAACGGTGGGCGGTAACAGTTGTGTTTCAAATTATTCTGCTGGAGAAAATACGTATAATTACCTTCCGAGACCAACAGAGATTACTAAATAAACGATCCGAGCTCATCCCAAAATGCAAACAGGAAAACAAATTTTAAATACGTTACTTAAAACTCGAAAAATAAACACGAATAAAAGAAAAAAAATTATAAAAATAAAATAAAAAATAAATAAATGAAATAAATTAGCCGAAATCAATAAATAGGTAAATGAATTAAGTAAATAGTAAAAAGACTAACAAACTACGAATAAACACAAGTAAACATGATAATAAAAATGAACAACAAATAGTAAAATAATCAATAATAATGAGTAAAAAGAGGTTGACAAATAACATTATAAAATAGGCACAAAACTGTATTCGTATCCACAGTTATTTCCACTCAATAGTCCTTAGAATAATGGGTGTTGACGTCAATGTCGACGTTTATATTTAAATACATATTTATATATCTCTGGTATTGAACACTTTAACTATAATATAGCACATCTTAAAAACTATATATATATATATATATATATATATATATATATATATATATAAACACACACACACACACACACACACACACATATATATATATATATATATATATATATATATATATATATGAAACATTCTTTTCATAACTGTTTTTCTGAATTTTTGCGTTACCTTTTGCACGAAGTTTCTCATATCTCACTGACTTTCGTTTTATGCTTCAGAATCTATCTATCTATCTATCTATCTATCTATCTATCTATCTATCTATCTATCTCAGTCTGTTCCTATCTATCTATGCAAATTCAGTTTTTTATCTATCTATCTATCTATCTATCTATCTATCTATCTATCTATCTATCTATTTATCTATCTATCTCAGTCTGTTCCTATCTATCTATCTATGCAAGTCAGTTTTTGTATCTATCTATCTATGTATCTATCTATCTATCTATCTATCTCAGTCTGTTCCTATCTATCTATCTATCTATCTATCTATGCAAGTCAGTTTTTCTATCTATCTATCTATCTATCTATCTATCTATCTATCTATCTATCTATCTATCTATCTATCTATCTCATCTTCTGTTATCTATCTATCTATCTATGCAATCAGTTTTTATCTATCTATCTATCTATCTATGCAAGTTTTTTTTTTATCTATCTATCTATCTATCTATCTATCTATCTATCTATCTATCTATCTATCTCAGTCTGTTCTATCTATCTATCTATCTATGCAAGTCACTTTTTTCTATCTATCTATCTATCTATCTATCTATCTATCTATCTATCTATCTATCTATCTATCTATCTATCTATCTCAGTCTGTTCCTATCTATCTATCTATCTATGCAAGTCACTTTTTCTATCTATCTATCTATCTTTCTATCTATCTATCTACCATCAACTTCTCTTATCTCACGTCATGTCCTAAAATAAATTAATGAAATCTAAAATTTGAAGGAAAGCAGTGATAGCACATACACTACTTCTATCATGAAAAATAGGATGTGGAGTTATTAGATACTAAACACTTAAGATCTTGGTATATAGATCAATTATGACAAATTCAGTAGAGTCGATAAGAATAGTCACTCATTTATGTGCCATGCGTGATACACGGTTAGGCGAACATGTATCTTTCTAGCGTGACTGACTTTTCAAATTACATAGAGTATCTTTAAATCTTTTGGCATGTAGTGTATTCATTATATGTAAGGAGGTAGGTATGAAGTTATGCTTAATATGTAGGTTACCAGACAACACAGTTCAGGTGATATCGATATAAGTGATTTTAGTAATGGTTAAAATTTATGGTACTTAAAATCGAAACCGAATTATAAAATATCCACAAACAATGAGAGTTGGCTTATTAAACCTCTATCAACCCTTAATATTTAAAAAAGAATAATAAAATAGATTCATCCGAAAAAAGGATATTAGAAAAAAATGTAATTCCTACAAGATTTTGTATCTCATTTCAGTCTGAGGACGCCTACTATAAGGAGCGAAAGGCATAATTGGATGTTTTTCTAATTGTCTTATCATTTAACTTTTTGTACGGATATTACTGTAAGTCACACTAAGACCTATTTTAAGTATTTAAAATACTTTCATGTCGAGGTCAGTGGGTTAATTATTAGGGACGGTTGGCTGTGCTGATGACATAGGTCTTCATAGTTCGTGATGAGAATAATCTTGAACAGAAAATTAACAACATCTAAAAAAATGTTCTGCAAATTAGGATAAACCATTCCGAATCAGAAACTATGTTCTAGAATTGGAAGGAAAGCAGTGACGTCACGTACCCTCGATCCATAAATAAATATTGTGGATGTGGAGTTATTAGATACTAAACACTTAATATCTTGGTATATAGATCAATTATGACAAAGTTAATAGAGGAGATGAAAATATTGTACAGAGAGTTGGCTGCTCGAGGGATTATTTCTTTGAACATAGCAAGCTGCTATAAAGCCGAAACATTAATCTGAATACTGGATTAAGGTTCTTAAATATCCTCGTCAGATCGAGACTTTCATATGGCTCCAAATGACTTTCATGGTGCCAAATCCATTCAGAAATATCTAAACTATCTGCTGTAAACCGGGTGCGATGGGTAAATTGTCGGGATATTATATTTTTAATTTCACGCAAGCGCGTTGTTTCTTTTTGATGTCAATTGCACAGCACAGTAGGGTAAGTTGGGAACCGCCTGTGAGGTTAAAAGCACAATGTCACAATTCCCTACGCCAGAAACTTGGAAGCAGCATACTGTACTGCTTGGCATTCGCACCAGAATCTCCAATGCGAACAGTTCAGTGTTTGGGCATTAATCTGAGTACAGTGCAGAGGATTGAACAAGAGTTGGATGAGGCTAATGGTAATTACGAAGGTACGACAGCTCGGAAAACTCCCTTTGATCGTTCTGATGGGAAAAGAACCCCCGAATATGTTGGTGAGGCCCTCGGACACAATACGGAGGCCTATATCAAGTGCCTTGTGGGGTAGTGCTGCCCAGAGTCAAGAGGCTGGTGTAAGACACTATATCTGGCAACAGGACTCTGCATTATGCCACTCAATCATGGCCGCCAGACAATATAAATTTTATTGAAAGTCCTAAAGTGATGTGGTCCACGACGTTCGTAAAAGATGTTCCTCTCTGAGATAAGCAGGCTTCATTCACAAGAAGACATGTTTTGCATATTCTGCAAACTGATGTGTAATAGATTATGCAATGCCAATAATGCGCAACGTAGAACATTGTGGCAATAATGGACAGTTAGAAAGTTTTATCACCTGTTCTTATGTTAGGCTTTCCAATATTCTCTGACCATCACTACAATGACAGATGTGAGTTATTCTTCCCCTGATGTGTTTATTACCAAATGGATGCCCCAAAATGACCTATTAGGTCATCCGAAAACGAAACACTTCAAACTCATCTGTAAGAGGAGCTCGTCTTGTAAATGACGTCATCAAATGAAGCGGCGGTTTTCTGCGGATACTGTCAGGATATGCCTTTATATCAATATTTTTATGTTAGATATTTTTCTTTTTTGTAAATGTTGTTTAATACTATTTATTATAAACAGAGCATTTACTTAAATATTTGTATCTATAAAAGAATGTATAAACATAAAATGTCTTAAAATAATTGTCGGACTTTGTCCATTTCATGATATATGACGTCATTTGTTTACATTTGATACGCCATGAGCAGATATGAATGTACGTGAGAGATTCATAGAAGATTGAAGTTCAAATACAGTAAATTCGACCTTGCTAACCGAACGCTCCTCTGTGGCCAAATAGGTTAAGGCACGTCAAGCTAAATGACGGTGACGTATAGGATACAGGTTCGAATCCTGTCGGAGGACGAATATTTTCTGTGAAAATTTCTCGGACATTTAGGCCGGTAAAAGTTGTTTAATACTGTTTATTATAAACAGAGCATTTACTTAAATATTTGTATCTATAAAAAGAATGTGTAAACATAAAAATGTCTTAATATATATATATATATATATATATATATATATATATATGTATATATGAAGAAATATACTCTTAAGGTGTGCTATATTTATGGGATAAAGTGCTCAATATCAGAGATAGGGCGTGTGTAAATATAAAAGTGAACACTTAGAGGCGACAGGCTGTTTCATGCTAGACGCAATCGTCAGGCCACGAGGAATATATGATTTTATATGCGCAGTAATTTGTGGAGAGTCCTCAATATGAGAGGTAGATCTAACATATTCAGTTGTATGGATATGAATTTGTGACCCTTGTTTCACGCTTTAGCGATCATCAGAGAAACTGGTTTGTTTTTTAAAAATTGGATCTACTTATACTTGTTTGACTATGTTTGGTGGTGGGAGGGGGAATCTACTTCTGTGTTTGTTTGGGATGATACTCTCATACACATAGACACACATACAAACAGGTGTACGCATTTCAGTTCAGACAAACACATCCATATAAACAATCCGAGGCTAGGGGCAGATACATATCCAAGCGTTCGGGCAGACACAGATACGCAGTTGTAATTCTTTTTCGGTGTCGAGACGTAGCTTTTATATATGTAGCGATGTTCTTTTCAACAAGGAGCGGATAGGGGTGTTCTTGACACTTTTCAGATGTACCGCCTGTGCCGTCAAAAAAACTTACACTTCCTCACACACATATACACACATGTAGACGCGCACATACACTCTTATTGGTCTGGCTCTTTTGCCGCCACTTTGGTTAAGTTGGGTTCTGTTGGTGGGCATGGTAATGATGATGTTTGTATTTTCAACGCTAACTGCTTGTGTGTTGTTGATGGTATGCTGATAGTGATAATAACTGTGATATTAATTATTATTGATATGTTAGTAATAGTTATTGATATGTTAACAGTAAATTTTATATAATTTATCTCAGTGTTAAACACATATCCATACAACTGAATATATATATATATATATATATATATATATATATATATATTATAAATTAACTGATTTAAAATATGTTTTTTTCGCTACACAGTAATAACTATGTTTCAAAAATGGAAGCTAAAAGCTTCAAATTTAATTTTGTAATTAAATTAAAAACATTAGTTCCATTTCATCCTCAAGCGAATTTTGGAGTAACTGATTTTTTAAAATTTACTGAGTTTTAAAGCCACAGAAAAATCATAATTCACTGTTTCCAAGGATACATGGAGGTCCAATCATTCAGACAAGGGGTGGTAGCGTTTTCATTTTTATTAACTTTTGTTGTATCAGTTATTAGTTACATTCGAAAAAAGTGGTTATGCTTAGGTAGGGTTAGGATGAATTTTTGAAAATGAAATGCAACTAAAGTTTTTAATTTAATTACAAAATTAAATTTTGAAGCTTTTAGCTTCCATTTTTGAAACATGGTTATTGCTGTGTAGCGAAAAAACATATTTTAAATCAGTTAACCAACGGCTTATTGGTAGAATCCCCGACTGACGCCAATTCAGTCGGGTTTCGATCCTAGCTACGCAGTCCGTCTATGGATGACAACATATATGCTCCTGAAAAATTTATTGGGGAGGAAGTGTGGGTTTGTAAACAGTGACTATTACGGCTAATAATGCAAAACTCTTCGGTAAATCGAAGAGAGTTCTGTCAGTCACTGTGTGTTTATCTAAAAATAAATACACTTAAATTCACCTTCATCCCTGCCGGCTTAGGTGGAGAATCTCCGACTGACGCCAATTCAGGACGTCTAGCCACACTGATGATCTGTGATACAGCGAAACAGTCTGTCTGTGGATGACAATATATATATATATATATATATATATATATATATATATATATATATGGCCGTTAAAATATTTTACTCTTCGGATATTTCACAAGTTTGTATAAGTAAGAAAAGACATTTTTGATGTTACTATTTTTTTGTGAAATGGCAGATCGAAATGATTTCAGTCAATGTTTGACTGATTTTTTTAGTTTGTTTTATCACTAAATGTAGTTCTTATCTTGCTAACTACCAATTTCTAAGTTATTTCTGTCTGTTAAATCTGTGAATCACTACCTTCATATCTTTCTTCCTATCTCTCTCCATCTTTCTCTGTACACACACACACACACATATATATATATATATATATATATATATATATATATATATATATATATATATATATATATATGATCAATCCTGTCCCCAAAAATTAGGGATCTTTTTCTTGGGATAAGAAAAGTTGTGATTGGTTGAGACTTGTAGTAAATCTTAAACTATGACCTTATTTCGAGGCTGACCTCGATTTGGATTTTCTTTTTTGACAGGTAACACAAAGAAGACGAACTCTTTGCTGAGGTATGATCTGGTTTTCTTCTTCATCTAACTATTTATTTGTCTGTATATCTACCTGTCTTTCTTTTTTGCGTTAGAATTACACAGGTTTTTCATAACTCTCTACTATACTTTGTTTAAAGTAAAAGATATACATATGTATCTTTTATTTTTTTGTGTTCAGTCAAAATTTCATAAATATCCCGTTTTGTGTTATTTATGATAGCTTTGGCGATGTAAAAGGACGATTTTAAATAAACTTTATTATCATAGGAGGCGCGATATTGAATTTCATTTCAGTTTTTAACATGTGATAATCTTTCGATAGTTTTTTTTTTTCGTTTTTTCGGCCGCTTTCTACAATCTTGATTTTTCTCATTTACTTGTACAATCTTATATTTTTGTCTGCGTGTGGATCTATCTATCTATCTATCTATCTATCTATCTATCTATCTATCTATCTATCTATCCCAGTCTGTTTATATTTATCTATCTATCTAGTTGCCTTGATCTAGCTACTATCCTTCTCCTCATCTTTTCCTCTATCACTCCTATCCGATCTTGCTCCAAATTTTCTGTAACCCCTTGCGTCCTAGTGGCTTCTCGCCTTGCTTGGGGTGAAAAGCTTTAAAAAAAATCTCTCTATCTATCTATCTATCTATCTATCATCTATCTATCTATCTATCTATTCCAGTCTGTTTATATCTATCCATCCTAGTCTGTTTATCTATTCATCCCAGTCTGTTTATATCTATCTATCTATCTATCTATCTATCTATCTATGAAAATCTCTATATAAATATCTCCTTACTGTTCCGTATATTTTTTCACGGTTTTCTCTCATCTATTGAGTTAAGTAGAAATCAGGAGTTTCAGACAAATAAAATAAAATAAAAAACAGAATTCGAAATGCAATCTCATAAAATACCGGATCCGAAAATCAAAAGGTTTAAAATTTCATATCACGACTCTCAAAAGAATTCTTCAAGCGTGAAGCGCTAAAATCAATGCTGTGCTTCAAAGTAAATTTCTTTTAGTGCGCTGATAATGGCTGTGATTAGTCAAAACTGGTAGGAAAGCGTAAACAATAACCAAATTTCTAGGCCAGCTGAACTTGACCCGACCTCGATTTAGTTTTCTTTTTCGACAAATAGAAGAGCACGAACTCTTTCCCGACGTAAATCTTGTTTTTATTTTACTTCGTTACCACATCTATCCATCTATCTATCTATCTATCTATCTATCTATCTATCTATCTATCTATCTGATTCTTTTTTAACGTTAGATTTACTCGTGTTTCTCATATCTATCTATCTATCTATCTATCTATCTATCTATCTATCTATCTATCTATCTATCTATCTATCTATCTATCTTATCCTCTTCATTATCTATCAATCTATCTATCTATCTGATTCTTTTTTAACGTTAGATTTATTCGTGTTTCTCATATCTATCTATCTATCTATCTGATTCTTTTTTAACGTTAGATTTACTCGTGTTTCTCATATCTATCTATCTATCTATCTATCTATCTATCTATCTATCTATCTATCTATCTATCTTATCCTCTTCATTATCTATCTATCTATCTATCTATCTATCTATCTGATTCTTTTTTAACGTTAGATTTACTCGTGTTTCTCATATCTATCTATCTATCTATCTATCTATCTATCTATCTATCTATCTATCTATCTATCTATCTATCTATCTTATCCTCTTCATTATCTATCTATCTATCTATCTATCTATCTATCTATCTTATCCACTTCATTATCTATCTATCTATCTATCTATCTATCTATCTATCTATCTATCTATCTATCTATCTATCGTTGAGCCGACATCGATTTAGATTTTCTTTTTCGATAGATAGCCCAAAGAGAACGAGCTCTTTCCCAAGGTAAGACTTGCTTTTTTACTTCGTCACTACATCTATTTATCTGTCTATCTCTCTGTATATCTGTCTTTTTTACGTTAGATTTACACGGGTTTCTCATATTTTCCTACTATACTTTGTATGCTCCAGTCATATCCATGTCTACCTAAGTCGGTTTTGCGTTCAAGCGAAATTTTATAAAAATTATTATTTCATTGTTGATGTAAATAGGACAATTTTAATTAATCTTAATTGTTAGGTGTCGCGAGACCGGATTTCTTTTTGGTTTTAAATATTCATAATCTTTTAAAAGTTATTTTTTTTTTGTTTTTTTTTCCCGATCGGTTGCAACAATCTCAATTTCACTCATTTACATGTGCAATCTCACATTTTTTCTACGTGTCGATCTATCTATCTATCTATCTATCTATCTATCTATCTATCTATCTATCTATATATACATACATATTATTAATTATAAATTGTTACATACAGGCAAAATAATATGTATGTAACAATTTATAATAAATAATTTTTGCTCTACTTGTATTGAGTAGTCTTTTTAATTAATGCTGTGAGCATTTCAATTTATATTCTAATTTGTTCTCATTACATTTAGATATCTATCTATCTATCTATCTATCTATCTATCTATCTATCTATCTATCTATCTATCTATCTATCTATGCGTGTGTGTGTGTGTGCGTGTGAAATAACCGTTGCAACTTATCCAAAAATCAGTTGGGTAACACAATAACCAATGCTAGACTTAAAGCGCCATTTAGTAGTATATAAAAAATCACAAACCAAAGCACAACACACGTGTCCTGAAGATTTTGTTAAAGCATGAAACAGTGTCCACAAATAAAATAAAATAAAATAAAATAATAAAAAAAGATAAACATAATCCGAGCTCAAATTTCAGACAATTCCAGATCTGAAAATCAAAAGAGTAAAAAATTCATATCACAACTCTCAAAGCACATCTACCTCTTCATGCGTGAAGCGCTAAAATTAATCCCGTGTTCGAATGTAAATTTCTTTTATTGGGAAAAAGAATAGTTGTGATTGGTCGAGGCTGGTAGGAAAGCGTAAACAATGGGCATATTTCGAGGCCGACTACAACATAGATTTTAGATTTTCTTATTACAAAGTAGACGAACACTTTTCCAACATAAGAGTTGATATTCTATTCCATCACCACATCTATCTATCTATCTATCTATCTATCTATCTATCTATCTATCTATCTATCTATCTATATATATGACTGTCTTTGCGTTAGATTTACATAGGTTTCTCATATTCTACTATTCTTTTCATGCTCCAACCATATTCGTTCATATGTAAGTTTTTGCGTCCAGTCAAAAATTACATATATTTCCACATTACACACCATAAAGTCTCTTAATATCTATCTATCTATCTATCTATCTATCTATCTATCTATCTATCTATCTATCTACCCTAGTCTGTTCATTATCTATCTATCTATCTATCTATCTATCTATCTATCTATCTATCTATCTACCCTAGTCTGTTCATTATCTATCTAACTATCTATCTATCTATCTATCTATCTATCTATCTATCTATCTATCTATCTATCTATCTACCCTAGTCTGTTCATTATCTATCTATCTATCTATCTATCTATCTATCTATCTATGTATCTATCTATCTATCTATCTATGTCTTGTGGGTAAAGGAAACTTGGATGAGTTACACCATGGAATTTATGAAGAGCGGCGCTATATCAAGTCTAATTCGTTACCACTTCGTCCCTGAGGCCCGTTCCATCTATCTATCTATCTATCTACCTATCTGATATTAGCTTCTCTTCTTTCGCTCTCTCTCTCCCTCCCTCTCTCTCTCTCTCTCTCTCTCTCTATATATATATATATATATATATATATATATATATATATATACATATATATGAGTGTATGCGTGTCTTTCAATTAAAATATCGGGATTCCTTTCATAAAGAAAAAGTACGATTTTGAACGACCTTTATTGTTACTTATCGCGAGATCGAATTTCTTTTTTAAATTTTTTACGATATTTATCTTTATTTGTTTGTTTTTTCATCTTATTTTTTTTAAAAATAATCTTATCCCTAATTTACACGTACAATTATTTTTGTCTGCGTCAGTGTATAACCATTCACACAATATTTGTTTATGTCAACCTATAAATCATTTTTTTTATTTCAACGGATTAATTCCGGATATACAATACGGACCAAAGGCTTTAAAACTCCCTCCGAATTTAATCATTAGGTTAGAGGTTTATTTTGTTTTACAGCATATCAATCTCAGTGGGTTATTTAATGCCGACAAATATTTAGGACAGGTTCGTATGAATATAATACATTTTCTTTGTAAGAAATCAGTTTGTATATCAACTTTTATTGAAGTATTTTTGTAAAGAGGTTTTTTGAAAGAGTATCAAATGTATTGCTGGTAATATTTTTATAAATCGAAAATAGAGACATAATGAAGTTGTTCGTATTCCATACTACTACGAACAAAAGGTTACGATGGGAACCTCCATCCATATTAAAAGGATTGATAAGAATTAGTGGTCTTGAGAAACCTACTTTCCTGAAAATTGTTTTAAGAGAAAGATTTTATAAATTAAAACCAACAGTATCATTAGAAGATTAGTTCATGAATACTGAATCTTTCCTTATAATTAAACAGCTAATATTACCATTCATTGACGGAAGGAGCGATAACAGTTAATGATCCACGAGTATCATTAGATGATTGGTTCATGAATACTGAATCTTTCCTTATAATTAAACAGCTAATATTACCATTCATTGATGGAAGGAGCGATAACAGTTAGTGATCCTGAGAAACCTATTTTCCTGAAAATTGTTTTAAGAGAAAGATTATATAAATTTCAATCACGAGTATCATTAGATGATTGGTTCATGAATACTGAATCTTTCCTTATAATTAAACAGATAATATTACCGTTCATTGATGGAAGGAGCGATAACAGTTAGTGGTCCTGAGAAACCTATTTTCCTGAAAATTGTTTTAAGAGAAAGATTATATAAATTCAAACCACGAGTATCATTAGATGATTGGTTCATGAATACTGAATCTTTCCTTATAATTAAACAGCTAATATTACCATTCATTGATGGAAGGAGCGATAACAGTTAGTGATCCTGAGAAACCTATTTTCCTGAAAATTGTTTTAAGAGAAAGATTATATAAATTTCAACCACGAGTATCATTAGATGATTGATTCATGAATACTGAATCTTTCCTTATAATTAAACGGCTAATATTACCACTCATTGATGGAAGGAGCGATAACAGTTAGTGGACTTGAGAAACCTATTTTTTCAGAAATTATTTTAATAAAGATTTTATAAATTTCAGTCGACAGCAGAACTAGCTGCACGGTCAGTGAATGCCGTGTGTTTGCTTATAAGGCTAATATTACCATTCATGTGTCTTGAATTTGTCGTTCACTATCATTCAATTTCCTTCTTAATATCCATAATTGCATTTCAGACAAGATTTGTAAAATTCTGTGAATCTTTTTATAATTTATCATAATTTTGCCGACTTAAGAAATGAGTAGAATTGGTTCGGAGTTTTATAGTGGTTTTCCAAGCGTAGCTTAGACGTGGCACAAGGCCGAAAACATGTAGCACCCAGTGAGGATCAAACTCACTAATCAGTCGTAATTGCTCTAGCGAGACAAGCTTGCTAACCATTAAATCACTTAGAAGTGTCCAGAGGCTGTAGAAGAAGTATGGTTATATTGCAAGTGTAGCTTAGATGTGGCACAAGGCCGAAAGCATGGGGCACTCAGTAAGGATCGAACTCACGAATCAGTCGTAATTGTTTTAGCGAGACAAGCTTGCTAACCATTACACCACCTCGAGGTGCCCAGGCTGGGAGTTTTATATACAAAACAGCAGTATACTTGACGTAACGAGATTAGAAAACTCACGTAGAAACGAGATGCCAGCAAGAGATATGGAAAATGGCGGTGTAACAGCACACATGTCTGTCTTTTACCGGAAATAAAATCTCTGGTTAATTTTCGACCTGGCGTTTTCCATCAAAGTATAAATAGGGACGTTGTAGCATATTCGAACTCTCGACGTAGCGAGAATAGAAGGCTCTCATAGAAATAAGATGCAAGTAAGAGAAGAGAAAACATGAGGATGTAACGGCACACATACCAGTATTTTACAGTAAATAAAATCTACGAGTAATTGTCAACCTGGAGTTGTCCCTCACAGTATGAAAAAGGGACCGTGTAGTATAGTCGAACTCTCCACGCAGGGAGATTAGAAGACTCTAAGAGCAATCGAGAAGTAAATAAGAGGAGAAACAACATGGCGGATTTAACAGCTGACCTGTTTCTATTTTGCAGCAAATAAAATCTCTGGTTAGCCTTCTATATTGCGTTGTTCATCGCAAAAAAACTTTTTCTATTCATAGGCCTGTATTTAATTTGTTTTATGAAAATGACTTCATTGTTATTTATCATATTGTAAAGTATTCTCTTTTCTAAATTGTAGGTCGCGTCTCGACAATATCTACAAAATGAAGGCAGTTTACTTCATTTTATCCGGAATATTCTTTCTACTCATGACCGGGCCAATCAAAAGCGACAACATCATCTTTCTCGGTCTGCCCTTTTACAGTCACATACATCCGATGACATTCTTGGCCAAAGAACTTTATAAAAAGGGACACAGTTCTTACATTTTTGTTCCGGATGAACTATCCAAGTTGCTAAAAACTTCAGAGGGCGTCCATCTACGCCAAAAAGAAATAATTCAAATGGCAGAATTCTCTAGAGTTGCTATGAATCATTTTTCCAAAGATGGCACCCATACATTACTTGACATGCAGAAGATCATGTGGGAAATATGTGAGGATTTTCTCTTAGACGAAACGTTTTTTGAATTATTGAAGTCACTCAATGCTTCTTTAGTAGTTATTAACAATGTTTACATGAACAATTGTCTAACAATAATCCCATATAAACTATCAATTCCGTTCATACTGTTTGGCGCTATGAATGAACCGACCATCCAGCGAACCCCCTGGGTCTATTCAGCATCTCCCTATATTTTCACACCATTTCCTGAACGAATGTCATTTTTAGAAAGATTGCAAAATACTTATTTTCATATACTAAATTACATCACTCCTCCTATAGGAGCCCTGGAGAAAAGTGTCAAGACATATGCCCCGGATAAACCTGATATCCCTTTTGAAGAACTTCTACGTAAAGCCGCTTTGCATATTGTGGAAACTGATGTTTTGATAGATTATGCACTGCCAACATTGCCCAACGTAGAACATTTAGGAGGGATGGGTACGCAACCTGCAGAACCACTTAAAGGAGATTTTCTTAAATTTGTTAATTCTTCAAAAAGAGGGATTATAGTTGTTTCATTTGGATCTTTGGTAAGTTTACTTCCAAAAGATCATCTTGAGAAAATGAGAGAAGCCTTTAAGCAGATAAAATACGATGTCGTCTGGAAATGGTCAGATGCAAGTTATTCTTCCCCTAATGTGTTTATTACCAAATGGATGCCACAAAATGACTTATTAGGTCATCCGAAAACGAAACTCTTCATCACTCACTGTGGCAATAGTGGACAGTTTGAAAGTTTGTATCACGCAGTTCCTATGTTAGGCTTTCCAGTGTTTTCTGACCAGCCCCACAATGGCAGAAGAATAGAAAGCAAAGGATATGGTATCTCGATGGATATGTTTAATTACTCTTTGGAAGAACTTGTTGCAAATATCAAAGAAATTATCGAAAATCCGAAATATAAAAATAATATCCAAATGGCAAGCAATATTTTCAAGTCTCGACCGGAACACCCGTCTGTAAGAGGAGCTCGTCTTGTAAATGACGTCATCAAATATGGCGGCGGTTTTCTGCGGTCGTACTGTCAGGATATGCCTTTATATCAATATTTTATGTTAGATATTTTGGCTTTTGTATTGTTGTCTTCTACCATTGGAATTTTGATTGCTGCTTTTATTTTCCGAAAATGTTTGTTGTTTTGTGGGCGAGCCAAAGTAAAGAACGAATGATATACAAAATATATATATTTGATATCAGGAAAGATAAAGGTTTTAGAAAATAAATCTAGCAATCAATCACTAAAGATTTTCGACTTGGGTTTCGTTTTATGTTTGAACTCTTGACAGATTTTTTTTCTTTTTCAACAAGAAGAATAATTTTATTTTGCTAATAGCGAAACTTTTC